ACCTTTTTTAAATATTAAAAGAAATACTTTCGAAGATACGGTACTATGTTCCACAGTCAGCCCTCCTGGCTCTATATCACTCACTTATTTACCCCTATCTCACCTATGGAATTTGTGCATGGGGCTCAACAACAATAAACCATCTCAGACCACTAATCACCCAACAAAAGGCTGCAGTCAGAATGATAACAAATTCTCACTACAGGCAGCACACTCCACCAATATTCAAAACTCTAAACAACATCCATATTTATTACTGCGTCTACTACATACATAGAACACTTAACTCTGACATAAACCCTCCCCTCAAACATCTCCTTACCAACCTCAACAGAACACATGACCATAACACAAGGCACAGATCACTCTTTGATGTTCCTCGTGTCCATCGCACGCTATGCAAAAACTCAATGCACTCAAGGCCCTAAAATCTGGAATTCATTACCAGTGAATATAAAAGAAACACTGTCTGTTTATAAATTCAAGTCTCCTCTCAAAAATCATTTACTCACCCACAACTAAATAAATGCTGAATAATTGTATCTCATAAATTGTATCTCATATATGTATCTCATTATTGTATCTCATAAATGTCAACCTGTGACCCAATCAAACTTTGTTACTATTTAACTTCATTACCTAACATAATACTCCATTCTACTGATTACACAGCAACACAGTAAATGACCATATGACCTGTCTTTGTAATACTCATTTGTACTAAATTGTTATCTGTTTTACAATAATTTTTGTACCACTGAATATATCATTGCTTAGTTAATCTTAAGTTAATTTTAAGCCTGACCATAATGCTCTGCATACAAGGGGCTTTGGCATGCTGCACTTTAATAATTGTATTCCTTGTACTTCTCTGTATCACGTTCAAATTAATAAATAAATAAATAAATGGAATGTGCTCTTTGTCCGTTTAAATGTCTTCCTCTGGGGTACTCGAATGTTCTACTGAGGTACTCCAAAGTATTTCTTCCTAAATATTGTCTACATTTTATTCAGGGTCGGTTAATATGCCTTACCTGGGAATCTTCTATGCTTTTACGATAATATTCCTATGATATAAATTTCTAATGCCCTTTAACCTCTCCTTATGTTATCTCGTAATCTTGTGTGCTTGTCACTGTATGGTACACTAACAGCTACACGCGTTATATAACCATCACAACTGATGTGGTATGAAGTTTTGGTGCGTAGACACTGGCCGGGCGTCACCAATCCCTCAAACCACCTGGCATAATGAGCAATCCTGTGATTTTGTATAGCGTTATTGTTTAAGGTTGTGTACAATGGACTCTACTAAATAGCTATCGAGCTTGTATAACCCATACTTTGGGTTATATACTGTGTTCCTTTCATGTTTCAAGAGGGAAGATTCAATTATGTTTCTTTCCATGACAGAACTGTTTGGTACTATAATCTGGGCAGCATCCCATTCTGGTGGGTGATTACATAAACTAACGTGGTTAAAGATAGCATTCGACTCCTACCCTGTCCTGACTGAGTATTCATGTTGGCCTATTCTGGTTTCCAGAAATTTACTTATTTGACCAATATATGAGAGAGGACACTGAGTACAAGGGACCTTGTAAACCCCACCAACTTTGTTGGAGGATGTGTTTTTAATCAGTCTTTGTTTCACAGTCCCTGTGTTCTTGAAAGTAAGGTTTATATTGATCTTTTTTAATCCCTCACGTAGGCAAACCAGATTCTCATTGATTGGTAGAACTAGTACATTTTTCCTGGCCGTCACTTCCTAGGTTAAGTCCTGTAGAAAGTCTTTCTTGCTGACATTAGTGCCTTCTCTACAAAATTCCTAGGATATCTAAGTTTTGTGGCTATGTGGAATATCTTGCTGATTTCGTCCTCTAGGTACTCTGGACTGCAGATGCGTAAGGCTCTCAAGAACATTGTGAGGAACACACTCCATGCGTTCCTCACAATTAGGACTCATTATCTTCTATCCATGAAATTGTAGCTACCCATATTTATATTTTAAGGAAATGATTACTTCCAAGTCTCCATGCACTGTGTGACCCTTACAGGTTTAGCGCCTCCTTATGAACATACCATATTAATTATTACCTCTACCATCAGAGGCAATGTATGGCTCTGACAGGTTTAACACTTTCCAATGTATTGTATATAATATATATATTTATCTTTTTCCCAGGGCAAGTCTCCTTGCAGCTCTTGCCTATGTTTGTCTAGCTATAAATAGGTACCTGGGTGTTAGTGTCCGTGCTCGTGTTGCCTATATTCGCCTAGCAGTAAATATGTACCTGGGTTATAGCCTCCTTGCCCCTATCACATATGTTCACCAACTGGAACGAAGTCCATTTTTAAGATGAACTGCTTGGCTTTCTTGAGTTATTATTATTGTGGAAAATTTTGAATTTTCCGGAAGTATAAAATAGTACTTGTGTAAATAAGTATAAAAATGACCGAGAAAATTCAAGTGGAGGATGTAGAATCTGCGGCTGCGCAAGTTGGGGAGGAAGACGCCATGTTAGAATTCAATTGGGGGACCACATTGTAATTTGTGTCATAATTTCGGCGTTCTCCGAGGCTTAATGGGGAGTTGACCTCAAAAATTGTGAGAGAAATTAAAAATTAAAGTCCTGCAAAGAGTAATCAAGACAAGAACTTGGCAGGAGAGCAAGAGTTTTGGTGAACGGGGGAAGATAAAGGATGCTGTATTCATACTCACAGCTAAGTAACCGTCTTTATATATAGACAGCTATCTGGCCAATTTAGTGTCTACGTATTTAGGTAGGTTGTGGGTGATCCAGCTGCTTCAAGAAATCTCCAGAGGAAAAATGGTAAGTGGTAATAATAACCATTTCTCTGGTATTATACTTGAATGTGTACCCCCCCCCCCTCCTCCTGAAGCAAGTCAAACCCAACTCATACAGTCCACATTAATTTCAATAATACCAAAATTATTGGTTATGTTTTCTTATGTAATGCATAAATTTTAGGTCCTGGTATTGTGTGAGATTACTGTGAGGGTTGTGGGTACGGAGGCGACGCTTTCCGGCGACCTAGAACGTCTCAAATCCCACATCCCTCAGATGTGCAACAAAATGTAAGTAATGTATCTTAGTTGCATTCTAGTAAAATTACTTGTATGACCGTAATAATGAGGTTCATGCAAGTAATTTACTTCTCACAATTACTACTGCTGCTGCTGCTGCTGCTGCTGCTGCTGCTGCTGCTGCTGCTGCTGCTGCTGCTGCGGCGGCGGCGGCGGCGGCGGCGGCGGCGGCGGCGGTGCGGCGGCGGCGGGGCGGCGGCGGCGGCGGCGGCGGCACTTACAATGTAATAAATTATATTAACTAATAGATTCTACAATTACATTGCTGATTCTACAATTAAGACTAACTGGTTGGTTAATCGAATTTCAAGGCTGTCGACTACTCAAAGGGTCACTACAGCTGCGTGTCACCTATTCACCACCAGTCAGTAAGAATTTTTCTGTTTTAAAAAGATTAGAGAAACCACTCAGCATATGTATATACACTGACAAATTGCAATCACACCGTGTGGTGAAGACTTGTCCCGGGGCTCACCAGGCGAGTCACTACAAACGACTGTGAACAAGGACACTTGTGTATAGCTCAGGTCATTTATTAAAGGAAACGTTTCGCCACAAGTGCCTTCATCAGTCCGAATGAAGCCACTCCTGGCGAAACATTTCCTTTAATAAATGTCCTGAAATGTACGCAAGTGTCCTTATCCATACTGTTTTAATAACACATACACTCTAACAGATACACAGACCAGGTGATCAGGGCGAGGAAAGAAGGTGAGGAACTCACAAGAAACGATCAGGAGGTATGTGAGAAGCTCAACATGAGATTTAAGGAAGTATTTACAGTGGAGACAGGAACAGAGGGGGACACCAAGAAGGAATATACCAACAAGTGTTGGATGACATACACACAAGTGAGGAGGAGGTGAAGAAGCTGCTAAGGGACCTGGATACCTCAAAGGCAAATAGGACCGGATATCTTCCCGTGGGTCCTTAGAGAAGGAGCAAAAATGCTGTGTGTGCCACTAACCAAAATCTTCAACATATACCTTAAAAGTGGGCAACTACCTGAGGTAAAGAAGACGGCAAATGTAGTTCCCATTTTTAAAGGAGACAGAAAAGAGGCACTAAACTATAGACCAGTGTCACTGACGTGTATAATATGCAAAGTCATGGAGAAGATTATTAGGAGGAGAGTGGTGGAGCACCTGGAACGGAACAAGAGTATAAACGCCAACCAGCATGGAGTTATGGAAGACAAATCCTGTGTCACAAACCTTCTGGAGTTTTATGATAAAGTAACAGAAGTAAGACACGAGATAGAGGGGTGGGTTGATTGCATCTTCTTGGACTGCAAGAAGGCCTTCGACACAGTTCCTCACGAGAGATTAGTGCAGAAGCTAGAGGATCAGGCGCGTATAACAGGAAGGGCACTGCAATGGATCAGAGAATACCTGACAGGGAGGTAACAACGAGTCATGGTACGTGATGAGGTATCACAGTGGGCACCTGTGACGAGCGGGATCCCACAGGGGTCAGTCCTAGGATCAATGCTATTTTTGGTATATGTGAATATGATGGAAGGGTTAGACTCAGAAGTGTCCCTGATCGCAGATGATGTGAAGTTAATGAGGAGAATCAAATCAGATGAGGATCAGGCAGGACTTCAAAGAGACTTGGACAGGCTAGACACGTGGTCCAGCAACTGGCTTCTCGAATTTAACCCCGCCAAATGCAGTCATGAAGATCGGGGAAGGGCAAAGAAGACCGCAGACGGAGTACAGGCTAGGTGGCCAAAGACTGCAAACCTCGCTCAAGGAGAAAGATCCTGGGGTGAGTATAACACTGAGCACGTCTCTGGAAGCAAACATCAACCAGATAACTGCTGCAGCATATGGGCGCCTGGCACACCTGAGAACAGCGTTCCGATACCTTAGTAAGGAATCGTTCAAGAGACTGTACACCGTGTACGTCAGGCCCATACTGGAGTATGCCGCACCTGTTTGGAACCCACACTTGATCAAGCACGTCAAGAAATTAGAGAAAGTGCAAAGTTTTGCGACAAAGTTAATTCCAGAGCTAAGGGGAATGTCCTACGAAGAAAGGTTAAGGGAAATCGGCCTGACGACAGTGGAGTACAGGAGGGTTAGGGGAGACATGATAACGACATACAAAACACTGCGTGGAATAGGCAAGGTGGACAGAGACAGGATGTTCCAGAGATGGGACACAGAAACAAGGCGTCACAATTGGAATTTTTTATCTATTTTTTTTTATAATTTTAAGATCTTATATATGGCTTCCATATTTCATCTATACCTCACAGGATATATGAACCGAGAGGTGTATTTCTCTCAGTATATATGCTGAGAGTTTACTTAGTTCCCTATTTTAGAAATTAAAGTAGTATTCTTGTCTGGTGGTGAAAAGGTTACGTGTAACCTTAAAGACCCTAGTGTGGTTGATAGGCTTTAAGCCCCATTAAGCTAGGAATGTGTATCTAACATCAGCCTACGTGTGTCCAAAAGCACTTTATATTCACCTCGTTTTGTGAGTCCCACAAGTTCACCCCAAACCCTGTGTTTCCACAAGTTCAATTTCACGTGGAAAGAAAGAGAGGGAATAAGTGATTATATATATTATATATATATATATATATATATATATTATATATATATATATATATATATATATATATATATATATTATATATATATTATATATATATGTATATATATATTTTATATATATATATATATATATATATATATATATATATATATATATATATATATATATTATATATATATATATATATACATATATATATATATATATATATATATATATATATATATATATATATTTATATATATATTATATATATATTATATATATATATATATATATATATATATATATATATATATATATATAATATATATATATAATATATATATATATATATATATATATATATATATATATATATATATTATATATATATATATATATATATTTATATATATATATATATATATATATATATATATATATATATATATATATATATATATATATATTATTTTATTTTTATATTTAACAGAGCGGGCCTTAAGCATATGCTAGTGGTGGCTAGAAGACCTGGGCTTGTGTACCTCAGTGATATGTTGCCAGTCCACGTCGCTTCTTGCTTAGTGGCTTCGGTTGGGGGGGTAGATGTGCAGGTATTTTTAACGCCGTAACATCTGCTAGAACCATCTCTAGCCTAGTGTTGCCAGTGACGCTTATACTGGTATGTCTTGATGACTGATTCACTGCAGTCCATTATCATCTAATGTTGAAATGTAAACTTTTTTTTAATTTTGTCCTAGTACTATAATTTCTTAGATTATTATTATTATTACATTCACTTTTACGCACTGAATCCGTAAGAGCCTTACAGCGCCTGGGGTTCGGAATCCATTAGGTTCAGTCCTAGGAAAGGGATGCTAGCTCCAGTTCATTAGATCGAGAGCTCTTCATCTGCATTTGGATATAATTTCCTAGAGTTAAGTGATCAAAGAGGAATTTTCAACGTTAAAAAACAAAATAATAGTTCAATCTCATCTTGTTCGATATCTTAAGTATTCAACATAAACCAGATGAAAACAATTTAGTTTTCTTAAAAAAAAATCAACTCATCGACTCCAGTGACTTAACAGTTGGTGTAACCTGATTCCACACAGTAAAATACACTACGAAGTATACTGTTTACTCTTCTGTTTAATGAAGTGCAAATGTATGTCGGAAGAAAATTTATATTTATAAAGAATTCATAGAGGATAGCAAGAAGTGAATGTAGAGTGCATATATGACAAAAAAAAAAAAAAATAGAAAATTTTAGAAAAAAGGAACATGAGTAAGACCAAGGTCCTTGACCTGGGTCCTCTACCTAATGGTACTGGCAAAGTGAACCTGCAAGGGGATCCCCCCCCCTACACACACACGTGTTGTATGGCTGTCATACACGTCGTTTGGGAAGACATAATGTAAATAACTAATGTAAGAGAAAATTAAATGGACAACACTGAAAGAATGCCTCAAAAAACAAGTTATAAAACTATTCTGGCGATCCGGGTGGGCATCTGTACTTCATCAAGTGTGTTAGTCAGGAGAGACTATTGAAGTGAGAGGAAGAGCAGGGAACGGAGAAGACTATCTCTGAAGGACACATGCACGCCCTTGTGAGGTCAGTAGAGGTAGTATATAAGGACGGGAGGAGCATTTAGACAGTACACTCAACCATGAATCTCCTGGTGAGTTGTCTCACTCCTCTCTCGCTATTATAATAAGAACTGTTTGTGATATAATCCTTGAAATCCTGCAAAGCTATATGGGATGTAGAAAATAGTGGTACACTGCTCTGACCCCAACCAGGAAGAAGTGTCGAGGTATGGTAAAAAAATAAACTA